TGTCGAGAGCAGCGACTGGAGCACAGAACGAAGCACATTGCTCTTCGCTACTTTCTTGCTCGTGAGCTACAGCAGCGTGGACAGCTGCGACTTGCGTACGTGGCCTCTGAGGCCAACACTGCTGATGTCTTCACCAAGGCACTTGCGCCTTGTGATCATCAGCGTTGCTGCACGCAGTTGGGTCTTGTGCCTGTCTTGCCTCACTTGCTCTCCTCTTGACCTTGCTTGTACTTTCGCATATATATACTCTTGCTCTTGTATATCTCTATATATGATCTTGCATGTGAACTGGCCTTGTGGCCTTTGAACTTGTGCTCGGAATGCGTGGTGACTTTGTGATCCACCCTGAGCTTTGCTTCGCTTTGCTTGACTGGTCTTGTGACCCCTTGTTCTCCCCCACTTTGCCTATGGGGGTGTGTCAGAACTTATAGCTTACTTGTTTCTGTAGGCTATAGTGGGGTATCCCATAGGGGGTACAACCCAATTAGGGTTTCCTATTTGTACTCACTTCGTTCATAGTCATTCCATTCTCGTTCTTTGTTTTCACACGTATCTCTTCGTATTACCGTACTCTTATATAAAACTCTGTACTTGCATGCCTTAATTAACTCACTTTGTTCTCACACACTAGTACAAGGTGGTTCACAGCAGGGCCTCAGAATTCAGCGAAAAGAGGCTGATTAGGGGTAAAAAGGCTGAGATTTCAGTGCTGGGAAGAAAGGGGGGCTGATTTGTCAGCTTTTTTTTCATTGTACCGGCTGATTTTTCAGCATTTTTTTCATTGTATGGTCTGAAATTTCAGAGTTTTTTTAGAGGTGTACACTGACTGATCAGCGTTGTAACGGGTGTGTGGGCTGAAATCCCACTAGTGGAGATTCGTGTAGTGCCGAGAATAAAAAACCTGCCTGGCCAATCAGATGGCACCAAGTCTTTCAGCTTGACTCGTCACTACAGATTCGCCCCGAGACAGCAAATTTGCCCCTACAGAACAGATTCGCCCCGTCAGAGCCACAACAATTTCGCCCAATCACAAGAATTTTTGCTCTGACACAACACGTTCTTCCAGAAATTCGCCCAATCACTGGAAATTAGCTCGGATTCACCCATCATGTTGCCAATAGAAGGTACTGTATTTTCGTGTGTGAAGTTGTGTAGGCACGTCGTGTGCACTATTGGCAGCACGTCGCGTGTTGCGCTATAGGAAAGCTTGAAGTTGTGTTCAGCCTTTGTTTTTAAGCAAGGCTGAATGATCAGCCAATTTTTGAAACTAAGCACTGAAATTTCAGCTTTTTTTTTTCAAGGCTACCCTGATTGATCAGCCTTCATCCCACTCCCAAGGCTGACGATTCAGCCTAGGCCAAAACGAATCTGAGGCCCTGGTTCAGAGTCTCATCATTAAACGCTTCCGCTACCACATCACTTTACTCAGAGTTTCATCCTACCAAATATCCTAAGGGGCATTCAGCCCAACAACTTCAACCTCCGAGGGTTGACTCGTTGGTGCCTCGGTATGCTTTGCTTCGCTTGTGCCTTGGTGTTTCGACACGACAGAAGCGCTTAGGACCGATTGTTTCTAACACAAGCTAGCATTCAATTATTTTAAAGCTATCAACTATCCATAATTGGTCCCAGTTCTACGGGGTGGGTGGGCGGGAAACTAGGCTAAGCCGTTTGAAAATGAAAGACGTGGGTGGAGGGAAATGACCTCCAGCCCACGTTTTGTACTCCAAAACGGGCGTTTAGCGCGGTTCGCCGATGACCATTGCTACATTACAAGCCGCTTCGCTTTCAAAATACGGTACAAAATTTTGAAAAGTGTTACAGTTATTTAAAATATTCATTATTGTTTCTTCACCAAGGTTTTCAGCATGCATGTACGGTAGTAGTGAAGTGCCAAGTATAGGCCATATGCCACTCTTACAGGGTACTGGTACCACCACAGAGCACAGCTCATGCATGGAGTTGTGTTCTGCATTTAGCCAACTCTGTCTAATGGTACAAGGCTGGTGATTTTTTTTATCTTAGGCATCACATGACTCACAGCCTCAGGTCTAAATCTATTTCCTGGGCTTCCACTTGCTTCCTTTCCTCCATCGACTCTTTTGAGTACCGCCCAGTGAGTTTCAGCTGGCCTCGCACAGGCGACTTCTGACCGTGTTTGCCGCCTTGAGCACCAGCGCACTTGGTTACACCAAGCGAGTCTTTCGCATGCCGAGGAGAATGCTCCGGCCTTTTTGGGCCCTTCCAGTGCTTCCGCATGTGACCGCCTAGTGCCTGCCCAGACAAGAAAATTCTTCCACACTGGGGACATCTCTTGCTCTGGGATGATCTTTCCTGCTGCCCAAAGCCAAAACCATCCACAAGCTCACCACTGCTCATGTCTTCCCTTCCACCAATGTTGATCCTGGTTACCTCGTTAGCTGCTCGAAGCGCCATGGCAAGCGATTCACTGTAACAACTCCTCTCTGCTGCTTTTGTGGGCCCTGGTACAGCCAGGAATGCGGGCAGCGACGATGTTGACACGTCAGCTGGCGAGGAGAGACGCGTCAGCGACGCGACGCGGCCGGATGGAGAGGACGAAAGGCTTCCTCCGGAACTGACAGCTCCGGGAATGTTTTCCCAAGAATTGCGCTGAGTGTGCAAGACCAGGTGTTTCCGGAGGGAGGCATCACCCCCACCTTCCGGCGGCAAGGAAACCAGCTTGCGATTTGGAATCTCATTCTGCCAGCAGTCCGCCTGACCTGCCACGTTGGATGATGCGATTGGGGTCCTCTCGCATCTCCCTGACGCTGCATTCGCCGCGTGAAGCACGCTCGCTATCAGCGCAGCTGCTGCTACCGCGTTCTGCTGCTGTTGGGTCAGCGAATCGGCCGGTGGTGACTGGCACGCGTCGCGTGCGGAGACCGACGGTGCTAGCGACGGCGGCGCCATGGGTCTCCCAGGTGGAGGTGGAGCGGCCGTCAGAGAGCCCGCGATTGCCGGTGAAAACTCGTCAGTCGTCTCAGCGCGGAGTAGTAGGCCAACCGATTGGTCGTCAGGCAGCCGAGGCGCGGTAGCGTCGAAGCAACTGGATGCCGCCCCGCCGGTTTCGGTCTCTCCATAAGACGCTGATGCGGCGGCGGCGGCGGTGGCGGAGGAAACCTTCTCGACGGAGCTGGCGCGATCGTGAGAGGACGCCGGCAGCAGCGGTTGGAGAAAAGGCGTCGTACCTATCACCGCGACACGCGGCGTGGCCGTGGCAGCGGCTGTAACAACTGTGGCGGCTGTAGCGTCTGTTGACGCGTTTTTCAAGCCGAGGAGAAGCTCGAAGAGCGGAGAGTCCGTGGTGCGGTCGACGAGAGCCATGGCTCCGCCGTGAGTCACGATCGAAAGCGCAGTTCTAGCGGGGTAGGCGTGGAGGAACGTGTGGGAGTCCACGGTAGACAGCGTCTGGCGCGCGATAGAGAATGTTGATTGTGGTCACTGAGAATGACGTGCTCAGGACGAACAACAGAGCGAGGTGGCTCATAGATAAAACTTCAATGTTCTCGCCAGATAGCGTAGCGGTGCAAGCCTTGTCATACAAAACCCGGCGATTATCTCGCGAGGAGATCATTTGGAGCGAGGAAAGCGAGAACAAGTTGAAGGACGCCATGTTGAGGCTGTCAGGTTCTGTCTGTATGCCGGTGAAATTGGCCCTAGTGAAGTTGGCGGGGAGAGGCCAGTGGCATTAGAGGTGGAGGCAGTGTCATGGATTACTGTATTTGTGTGTGTAGCGGCCACATGTGAGGGAGTGGATAGCGAGTGAGCAGCTAGCAACACTCTGATGGCTTGGCAGGCGTTGATAAAGAATCTTGGTGTCCGCCCCACCCCTCCCCCCGCAACCATCAATTCCACCAGAACAGTTTGTATGTGAGTTGTTTTCATGGCAGGAAGGACGGTGTACCAGAATAGATACAGCCGTCAACTCAATGCAGAACATTCGTTACACCTGATGCTCACCCCATGCGCGCGAATTTGCCTTGCGCCGGATGGATACGCTGCACCCGAGGTTGTTTCCCCAGCTTCATGCACCTACATTACAAGCGCGTCAAGCAGAAGAGACCGAAGTCAAGCAGAAGAGACTGAAGTCAAAAAAGGTAACTAGGTAGCAGGGTCTTGTTTATAAGCACATGCGAATTCTTTTTAGCTAGCTGCGAATTGACGAACTTAAGCGAACTGCCTCGTTACAGCTTATACACCCCCTTCACAAGGCAACCGGGAGGAGCTCAAACAGGCATCATGTGTACAAGCGAAACCGTGTGCGAACGAAATGCGCCAGAATTCTGAAGTTTACTGTAGTGAGGAAACTGAAATTCGCTTGGCGGTGGCGGACTCTGTACCATACAAAATCCCACTCCGCTCCACACCTTCCGCACATCCCTTCTAGGCTCAGGCCATGGGTAGCCAGGCTGTCAAAGGATCTGCACAACGTGTGTGACTTGGCGTCAAGGATTGGGCTGGGGTGGTCGAACACTTTTCACAGTTCGGACTGAGTCCCTGAGCTGGCGCGGCGCTTGTTGTGCACAGCCCAACAGTTCGGATTGGAGATTTGACCAGGCAGCGGGCAACCCAACTCGAGTTTAGAAAACAAGGACAGTATAGATAATAACGTCATTAAACAATTCAGACAAAAATGCATCCTAATATAGTTGCCGAGAAAACATTTGCTACAACTTTCTGCAAAAAATTGTTCCCAACGGTAACAAGTACAGTACACGACTGCCCCATTAACAGAGGAGCATTGCCTTGGGATTGCTGCAGAAAGGACACGTCAAGTGTCCGGGCGAACTCAGTCGTGGATTTGTAGGTGCATTAGAAATGTATTCTTTGAAGGGTGTTCCGACGTTGGCATCAGAGCTCGGACGAATGACGCCCTTGCAAGAAACTAGACTACCCTAACCAATTTCTTAATGCACTAGGGAAAGGACTAAAAAAAAAAGGAAGAGCGATGGAAGAGGCCCCTTGGATCATGTTCACCATCATGCACTTTCCATGCTCTTGTGATGCTTGGAGCCCCTAAAGCTACGATTCACACCATCTTCCTCATCCTGAGTGCCGTTCTCCTCCCGCAACCGACGGCGCGAAGGCACCTGAACAGAATTTGTTGCTCCCAAAGAGCTGGCTGGAGGATTACCATCGTCCTGTGCAATCTGCTTTTCGCAAGAAGCAGGGACCCCATGCCTTTCAAATGCTTCGTTGATGTTTGCGACGCGCGGTTGAGGCGAGCCCAAGTGTTGCTGGAGCTGTTTGGGCACAGTGACGCAGTGCAACACAAATACCGTACATGCACGAAAAGCGTGAAACAAAAGCATGAAGTGTTAGCATGGAATGATAGCAGGAAACGATGAAACGTAACAGTACTCAGCATGGCATAACCATGTGTCACACCCACCAGCAGCACTCTGCAACACACCCTGAGAGTCCACTATGAAACGGGCCCCTGGCTTCATGCTTCCTTCCCCGCCTACCTCTCTGCCTGTCCTCCTCGACCTCCCGCTCAGATATGCTTCCGACAGCCCCTCTTGCGGCGCCATGTGGCGCTGTGCCACGTCATCCGCCTCCATCACCCTCTCCCACTCCTTTGATTCCTCCTGCCAGCAGATCAACACATGCGCCATCAATGCCATGCCATCCCATGCCATGCCATGCCATGCCATCCATGAAGGCATGTCGACATAAGGAACACACCACACAGATGAACCAGCATCATAAAGGCACTCAGCGTTGCAGGAATCACCAACATAGACACACCAGCGATGCCGCAGGTGCCATAGAAGCTGCAATCATGCAACCCTAGGCACACCCAAACAATGCCCAGACTCCCACCTCTCTCTTGTGCCATGCTCCAGAGATCACCTCTAAACCCCTCTCAACACCTGTACTATGCACCATTCATTTCCCAGCAGAAACTCACCAAGCTCAGATTTCCAGCAGCAACAGCATCTGAAAGGGCCTTGCCTCTCTCCTTGGCAGACGTGCCTCCCCCTTGACTGGACCTCATTGCTCCACCCGCCCCACACCCCTCCGCCCCACCTACACTCCTGCTTGCTGCCCCGCCTCCGTTGCCCACCACCCGTGCTTCTCCCTCTCGACCTGCCCCGCCCAGCACTCGTCTCAGGGCACCAAGGCCCTGCCCCAGCACATTCCTTAGCACGCGCTGCTGCTGCTGCGATTGCTGCTGCTGCTGCTCCTGTGATTGCTGCTGTGATTGCTGCTGTGATTGCTGCTGTGATTGCTGCTGCTGCGACTGCTGCTGTTGCTCCTGCTGTGACTGCTGTTGGTGGGTGGGGTTTGGTGGCGGCTGCTGCTGCTGCTCTTGTTCCTTCTGTTGCACGTCTCTATCCTCTCCATCTCCCCCCACCACCCCTCCCTGCCCCCCAGCATCCACTGACCTTTCCCCGTCTCCCTCGCCTGCTAGCCTCCCTAAGCCTGCCAGCACACCACCCAAGCCTCCCAGCCCTCCCAGCAGCGCCTCAAGCCCCCCTGCTTGCACCCCCACCCCCCCGGCAGGTATGCCCATCCCCCCTGCCTGTGCAGCCACCCCCCCTGCCTGTGCAGCCACCCCCCCTGCCTGTGCAGCCACCCCCCCTGCCTGTGCACCCGGGACCCCTTCTTGTGTGCCCATCCCCCTCGCTATGCTTCCCCCCTGCGCCTGCACCTCCCCCCCTGCGCCCGCCCCTGGCAGCAGCTGGGGGCGCATGACTATGGTGGGGAACGGGCCAGACCCGCCCACCAGTGCTACAGTCGCAGGGAACTGTAGCAGCGGCTGCTGCCCTGCAAACCATGCCTGCTCCTGCTGCTCCTGCTGCTGCTGCTGCTGCTGCTGTTGTGGCGATTGCTCTTGCTGCTCCTCCCGTTGCTGCAGTTCCTGTACCTGCGCTTCCTGCTGCCCTCTCTCCTCCCTCCCCGCACCCTGCCCCTCCTGCCGCTCTCGCCTCTCCTGCATCTCAGATTCGTAATCTGCCCGCCGCTGCTGCACCTCCTGCCCCTGCTGCCCCTGCTGCCCCTGCTGCCCCTGCGACTGCTGCTCCCTCTGCGCTCTCTGCCCGCGGCCCTGCATGTGGGAGTTGTATTCAGCCAGAACCTGCTGCATGTGGAACAGCCGTGCTGCTGCCCTCACCTGCTCCACCAGTGACCCCACCTGCCCCTGCTGCTGCCCCTGCTGCTGCCCCTGCTGCTGCCCCTGCACCTGCTGCCCCTGCCCCTGCTGCTGCCCCTGCCCCTGCTGCTGCTCCTGCTGCCCCCCAGCCTGTCCTTGTGGCTCCTGTTGCCCCTGCTGCTGCTGTCCATGGGCAGCAGTAGCAGTGGAAACAGCAGCAGCAGCAGCAGGAGCATCAGGAGGAGTTGCAGCATCGGTGGCGTTGTCAGCTGGAGGGCGGGCATGGGCAGCAGGGCGAGAGGGGGCGGAGCGAGGCGGATGTGCGGCGAAACCAGGAACGCCAAAGGGCCCCACGTGCACCCCGCCTGGGAGAGAGAAGCTTGCAACAGGCGCGGCCACTGATGCTGATGGCGCTGCTGCTGCTCCTGTGCCTGCCGCAGCAGCTGCTGCGGTGCGTCCCACTGCTGCTGCAGATTGCTGCTGGCCTCCGAACAGAGGAAATCTGATGCTCCCCCCCATTCCTCCCCCACCTTCTCCGCGCCCTCGCTCCAACCCCCCACCTCTCGCCCCCTCCCTGCCAGCCACACTTGGTGCCTGTGCCTGCAAGTGCATCTGCTGCAGCAACGGCAATTGCTGGCGGAGGGGAGGCATGGCAGGAGAGAGAGAGGGGGGCAGTGACAGAAAAAGGAAGCAAGATGAGAGCAGGTGGAAGGCGATTGAGAGAAGCCAGATTGCAGGCGAGGGATGAGCTTGGGCAGAATGCAGTAGGCAGATTGTCAGAAACTATAAGCCAAGAACGATCAGCCAAGAACGATCAGCCAAGAACAATCAGCCAAGAACGATCAGCCAAGAACGATCAGCCAAGAACAATCAGCCAAGAACGATCAGCCAAGAACGATCAGCCAAGAACAATCAGCCAAGAACGATCAGCCAAGAACGATCAGCCAAGAACGATCAGCCAAGAACGATCAGCCAAGAACGATCAGCCAAGAACGATCAGCCAAGAACGATCAGCCAAGAACGATCAGCCAAGAACAATCAGCCAAGAACGATCAGCCAAGAACAATCAGCCAAGAACGATCAGCCACCCATAACTCACAAAACCCTCCCCTCACCTCCCTACCCCCCTCACATCCATACCCCTCCCCCCCAGAACCCAGAACCCAGAACCCAGAACCCAGAACCCGAGCCCAGAACCCAGAAGTCAGGACCCGTGGGAAGTGACCCCTGTGAGCGCACATGGGTGAAGAGAGCGCTGGGCCCTCGGGCAGTGATGAAGACCGGCGGCACCGGGGACAGGCGCGGGCCTTGCTGCTGCTGCCCGCTGCTCGTACCAGCAGCAGCAGTGGCAGCAGCACCAGCTGTAGTGCCACCAGCAGCAGTAACGCCAAAGGAAGGAGGGCGAGCAGGGGCAGGCCAGTGCAGGGCGCGGCAGAGGTGGGAGAGTTCGAGCAGCAAGGGCGCCATGAGGGACACACACCGCACCGTGCCCTCCACTGCCTCTCTCATCGCCGCCTCTGCTACTGCTTCTAGTTCTCCTGCTTCTCCTCCTGCTCCTGCTCGCGCCCCTGCTGATCCTGCTGCCCCTCCTGCTTCTGGTGTGCCTGTTGCTCCTGAATCAGTCACAGCAGAAGCAGCAGCAGCACCCACAGGCGGCAAGTGCTCCAGCTGCTCTGCAAGGTTCTGCTTGGGAATAGCATGGGTTATGGGAGGAAGGATTGCACAGAATACACAAGCGGCAATGGTATTGAAGAACAGAGCTGGCATGACTCATGCCTGCCGGATCAGATGGAGTGCTGGTCAACTGACAATCACGGTCGCATAAAGCACAAGCAACGAAACCCGGAACCAAGAGGGCGGAAGGGCAGGAACTGACGAGCAGGGAGGAGGAGAGGGGGCCAGTGAGGAGGCTGTTGGAGCGCCTGAGGGTGGCTGCCAGGCGCTGCAGCTGTGGCAGCTCCCTCCTTGCTGTCGCTGCTGCTGTCGCTGCCACTGCCGCTGCTGCTAAATTCACTGGGATGGGCGAACAGAGGCAGGGGAGGGGAAGAAGCATAGTCGCAAGAGTACAGGAGAAATGGCGGCTTAAAGCCTTTAATAACTTTTTAGGCTCCTAATAAATCAAGCAAGGCTTGAACCCCTCAACTGCAGTGCAGTGCAGTGGAGTGCAGTGCAGTGCAGTGCAGTGCAGTGCAGTGCCAGAGCTAAGACCCCAAGCAACCCACAATAGGTATGAATGAGCAATGCTATGCAGCTACCTAGTATGCAACCATGAGCTGCTCTCACCTGACGGCCTCAGCTGACCCTCCACGCGTGATATATACTCGTCCACAGTGGAAAGGGCGTCCCTTCTCCCTGCATGCCCCGCTCCTTGCTGCTGCTGCTGCTGCTGCCGTGCACCCCGCTCCTCCTGCTCCTCCCCATGGTGCCCCAGGCCCCCCACCCCCCCTGGTCCCATGCCGCCAAGAGCCATCATGAGAGGCAGGCCAGCAACGCCCATGCTGCCGCCCACACCCATGCTGCCGCCCATGGGGATGGGGAGGCCACCCAGGGGAATGCCCACTGGCACAGCCACGCCACCTGGCGCTGCCATGCCCATCACTGATGGCATGCCCATGCCTGCTCCCATGCCTGTTCGCATGCCTCCCATGCCCGGTCCTCCCATACCCATGCCCGGCCTTGCCATGCCAATGGGCACGTCAAAGCCATTCACAGGCAGCCACGTGTCCATGTGAATTTGCACCTCTGGCACCCCGCCCCCTCTACCCTCTGCCCCTTCTGCTCCCTCCCTCCGTTCCCCAGCGTCACCCCCGCCTTGCTCCATCCCCGCTCTCTGCTCCCCTGCTTGCTCTTCTTCCGCCCTTCCTCCCCCATCCCTGCCTGCACCTCCATCCGAAGTCGCAGCAGCAGCATCGGTGGTCTGAGCGCCGTGGGCAGCATTACCGTGTGCAGCCGGGGAGGGGCGTCTGAGAGCCTGAGTGGCTCGCATCTGGGGGGCACATGGCACATGGCACAAGGCACATGGCACATGGCACATGGCACATGGCACAAGGCACATGGCACATGGCACATGGCACATGGCACATGGCACATGGCACATGGCACAAGGCACATGGCACATGGCACATGGCACATGGCACATGGCACATGGCACATGGCACAAGGCACATGGCACATGGCACATGGCACATGGCACATGGCACATGGCACATGGCACAAGGCAGCGCAACGCAAGGTGAATGAGCAGCAGACAGGTGTGGAAGAGAGAGCACAAAGGAGAGGCAGACTTGAGCTGAGTTCATTTGTCGGTTGAACAAGGTTTCAATGGGATGGTACTTGGAGAAGGCGTGTTGGCAGGCATGCATGCATGGAGACATGAAACGACACACGGCGTACCGAGATGGGAGCAATGTCAATCGTGACATTCGCACTGGGACCTGCTGCCTCGCTTCCACCCCCCCCCACTCGCCCACCCCCTGCTCCCCCTCCTCCCATGCCCCCCCCCAAAACTACCCCCATGCCTCCCCCCATGCCGTCCCCCATGCCCCCCAGCCCCAAGGCCCCGAGGCCGATGGATGACAGCACACCCGACACGATCTGATGGGTGCAGACGGGCGGAAGGGAGGAGAGCAGGAGGGACGGGCGGAAGGGAGGCTGAGCAGGAGGAGTGGGACAGGCACGAGTTGAGAGGGGATGGACGGAAAGGGGAGGCGCGGGATGGGGGAAACTGGAGGGCGGGGATGGGATGATGAAAGAGGGAGGGGAAAGGGGAGGGGAGTGGGAAAGGGAAAGGAGGGATTGACTGGGAGGAAGGATGGGGGAAAGCAATCCGATGGGAATGGGACGAGATGACCACGAAGCAGTCACGGGCATCGCATGATTGCTCTGTATCTGACAGCCCTCTCAGTGCACCCCACCCACCCACACACCCGTGCACCCATGCACCCATCCACGCACCCGCCCACCCACCATCCATGCACCCACCCACACACCATCCACGCACCCACGCACACACCAACCCACCCACCCACGTACCTGTTCACCCACCCACTCACCCACACACCCACCCACGCACCCACCCATACCTGGTTCAAGTCCGGAAGGCCCTGCGAGCCGTCCGATTGAAGGTTGAACGTGCCCAGATGAACGGTTCCAGAGGCAGGCAGGCCGCCAATCTGCACATGACCCAAGCCTCCCCCCGGAACGATGCGTATCCCGCCCATACCGCCGCCGCTGCCCCTCTCTCCCCCTGCTCCGCCCCTCCCCTGTCCCCCGCGCAACAGCCTTGCCCTTCCGCGAATCCCCTCCCCCTCCGCGCCCCCGCGCGCGCCATGCGCGGAAGAAGGGGAGGAGTCCCCCGTGAGGCGCGAGACCAGGTGCACCACGTGGCCCGCGCTGATGCCTGGGGAAGGAAAAGCGGGGAAACGGCGGAAGGGGAGGGGAGGGGAGTACGGGGAAGGGGAACAAGCGGAACAAGAGGAACGAGGCGCAGGAGGGGGTTGGCCATCTAAATGTGTGCCATGCGTAGCCTAGACACAAGAGAACAGCCTTTCCAGCCAGCAGCGAGCCTGACAAGAGCGAAGTAACAAAGAAAAATCTTGGGAAAGGCATGCTACAAGAATCCGGGGGGAAGGGGGTTAAAACGAGAGAGTCGGGAGTAAAGGGGGGTAAGGCGGGAGAATCCAGGGTGAACGGGGGTACGACGAGGAAATCGGGGGTGAAGGGGGGTAAGACGAGAGAAGGAGAGGTGAAGGGGGATAAGACGAACCGTAGGATGCGAGGGTCTGATCGTCCTTAAGAACCTTCCCTCGGAAGACCAATCGCTGGCTGCCAGCTGGAACCTGCACCTGCGTGGATATCTTTTCCTTCAACGCGCTCACGAGCAGCTGCGGGGGGAGTGGAGGGCGAGAGGCGAGGCGACGGGGGAGAGAGAGAGGTGGGGAGAGGCGAGGCGAGAGAGAGAGAGGCGAGACGAGGGAGAGAGAGGCAGACGAGGGAGAGAGAGGCGAGACGAGGGAGAGAGAGGCGAGACGAGGGAGAGAGAGGCGAGACGAGGGAGAGAGGGGAGGTGTGTGAGAGAGAGAGGAGGGATCAAGAGACAGGGAGAAACGACTGGAATAACAGCGCAACGGTTAGGCGTTACAAAATAAACATACAAGGCGCTAATCGAGGACAGAGAAACGCGAGGCTGGGGAGGATGCACGACCAGCAGGCTCGAGAAGAAAAGTTGAAGATGTCAGCAACGGTACTAGCTGAAAGGAGTTGACCAAGTTACTGCAGTGCAGGAGTTGATGAAGTTTAACTCTTGTTGAACAAATCTGAACTCTAAAGACACGTCTCGATAATAAAAGATGACAATTTAACGACGTCTGATAACCGGTCTACGTCGGACTAAAGGTTTGCCACCGTCCAACATCCTAGGCCGTGACTCGCGTCGATCTGACAAGTGCGGATCGGAAATTTAAAAGAACAATCTCTGCAGCTGCTCCTGGGACCCACAGAGAGCGATCACTCTACACTAGCACGCACCGCGACGAACACCCTACACTAGCACGCGCCGTCAGTAACTCCCTACGCTAGCACGCACCGCGAGATCCACGCGGACATCGTAAGTCCGGTTATCGAGAGTCTTGATCGTTATTCCGACTTCGCTCCGACTTGCGCCGTCAGGAGGAGGCAATTCCACATCCATGGCGAGCAGGACTCCACGAAGAAACCCTAATCGCAAAATCTGACTAATAAGTCGCACAGGAGGACACTAACGAAGGTCTCAGGCTGTCTGTTACTGAATTCAGACAGAACTCGAGGCCCTGATTTGAAGACGAGAGCTGTACCGCACAGAACCGCATAATCACGGTGCAACTTCTAGGGAAGCGGACCAGGAATTGCAGAACCAATCACTGCGTTGACGTGCGTGACTGTGATCAGAGCAACACGACCGACACGTGTACGTATGAGCGGCGGCACCCTCACAAAAGCTTCTATCACGCGTTCCAGTGTACACAGAAGCTTCTGGTTGTAAACTTCTGACAAAGAAAGCATTTTCATTCCACAAGGTAGGTAAACCTGGCTAGAGAGGAAACTACTGTAAGCAGCTAGTTTACAGAATCTTGTTTCTTATGTCCTCTAGCTTCTTGAGAATCTCTCCTGGCGTGCGATCAAGCTCTTCCGCAATCTTCTTTTGCAGCTCCAGCGAAAGTGATGGAAATTGCTCGCACAAGTCCCCATCAATTACATCCTGGAAGGAAGGCATAAACACCAAAACATGGAAGCAGAACAGCAAAAGTAGAGCCATTAACCAATTTCGTTTGGGAACGTCCAGGCTACATGGTAGACGAAAGGAGAAGTTGGCAAGAAGAAAGGTGAGTGCAGCAGCGAAGCAGGGTGGCTGACCTTGACAGGGAAGTAGGCGGATCGGTAGGCGACGTGCTCGCGGCCGGCGAGGGGAGGGTGCTCCTGGCGCAGGTGCATCTCGAGGTGCGAGAAGAAATCCACGTCCTCCCGTGAGACAAAGGGCAGCAGCGCCCCCACCCCCCCCAGCATCGTGCTGTAGATGACGCACTCGCTGCCACCTGAGGGAGAGAGAGGGGGAGAGAGGAAGACAGGCGGGGAAAGCAGGATGCGAAGTGAGGCGGAGAGAGGAAGCAGGACACAAGAGGGTGTTGCAGGGAAATCAGCAAGTGAGAAGCGATTCAGGTTGGGACAACCAACGGAATGATAAACACCCGAGGGCAAGCAGTACAGTAAGGAAGAGCTAGTTCGAAGGCCAGGCTGTGCAGCGCTCACCTGGAATGAGCGAGGTCTTTTGCATGGCTGTGACGATGTCACCCACGTGGAACTGAATCACCTGGTGGGGCAGACAGATCATTGGGTTTTCAGGCAAGGGTTGGAAGGAGGGGAGGTGCGTGAGGGAAGACATGCGGCACAGACGACTTTTGAGACGTCTCAAAAGGTGCGTGAGGGAAGACATGCGGCACAGAGACAGGGAAGGAACAGCACAGGGATACCGGCACAAGCGCACTCTCACAGCAGAGCACCACAGGACAGCAGCGCATCGAGACATGCAGCAAGGGAAGCAGACAAGGAGGAACGCAACGAAGCCACACAACAGCAATCCGACGCCAACCTGCTCAAGCTTGTTGGGTGCGCCATTGAGCCGTCCCCCTCCTACAGCGTCCCACTTGACACGCCCGCCCGTTTGGTCCTCCTCAATCTCTTCAGAGATCTCCCCCGGCAGGCGCACGAGACACACGTTGCCAAACTTGTCCCCGCCCGCCATGGTGTCAAAGTCGATGCGCAGCGCCGAGGTCAGCCAGCGCGGCGTGACGTCGTCTGCAAAGACGTACAGCTGGTTCTCCTGCCGGCTGTGCTGCACGTAGTGGAACGACTGGGGGATTGAGGGAGGGTTGGGGGAAAAAGGGGGCGAGAGAGTGAGGATGAGAAAGGAAAAGCGTTTCAGTCACCCATGTCTTTTGAGGCGCCTCAAAACTCACCCATGTCAGTTTTGCACATTTCCTGGTGAAAGGATACCACTCAATCACCTCATGGCCCTCTGCCCCCCACCCACCTCACCCCTTCACCAACATCCCCCCTGCACCCACACACCTCCCCCAACCACTCCCCCACCTCCCTGCATCCCAACTCACCTCCTGCACGTCGCCCACGTAGATGCGATCGCCGCACGCGTGGATGCTCACGATCGCATGCGGAAACTGCTTGTTCTCGCACTTCCTCAGCAGCTTCTTCTTCCCAAGGTCATATATCCTCAACACATTCCCCACCCCCACCAAAAGCCTTCCATGGAACGCACACAGGGCAGTGGGCACCCCTCCTTCCACCGGCGTCTTATGCACCAACTCCAGCTCCCTCCCGTCCTCTCCCTTAAACTTATACACATGGAGGAACCCTCCCAGAAGGTTCCTCTTGGGCCAGAACTGGAGGGATTTCGCCGTGCCGACTACCAGGTACTGCCCTGCTGCCGCCCCGCCCTCGGTTTTATCCGCGTGGAAATTGACCGTGCAGAGCGAGAAGGCTGCCTCGCTGTCTGAGAGCTCCATGAGGCATGTCGTCTCGCCTGCCTTGGGGTTGATCACCCGGATGCACGACGCCCATTTCGACGGGACCGTTTTCGGGTACCCGAATTGCTCGTCCGGTAGCGGGTCTTTGGCTTTCTCGTCCTCCTCCTCTTCCTCCTCTTCCTCCTCCTCTTCCATCCCCTCCTCTCCGTCTTCCCCTCGGGCCCCTCTCGCTGCCCTCGCAGCCTCTTTCCTCTCTCGCCTCTCCTCCTCCATCCGCTCTGCAGCTCCCGTCACTTCAATCGCTTCCTTCCGCAGCTCCTCCCTCTCTTCCGCCGAGAAAGCGCCCTGGTCGCTCTCTATAGTAACAATGTTCTTATAACGGGGATGCAGTACAGCCTTGCGCGGGGTGTACCTTAGCGGAATAACCGTCTGGTTAAAAACCTCTCCAAGGCGTTCCACCGTGAAAACCCGCAGCGTTTCCCCTGCCACCGCCACAATACCCTCTGGACACTGATCCGATGCAAACGGAGCAGCATACTCTAAAGCCTCATAGGACAGAGGTGTCAAATGGAAGCTTCCCAGAAGTGAGTACCCGAGCCACGGGCGGCTGGAAAGGCACAGCATGGCTCGCCGCTCCCTCAGCTGGGCACCGAAAAGTTTCGGCGCGCGCAGCCCGAGGAAGCGCGTGCGCGAATCGGAAAGCTGCCCGGAGTTTTTATCCACCTCTGTGCGGAGCAACACACCGTTCTGCAGGCCGGCGTTGAGGAAGAGGCTGGACGGCATGTGGGCGGCAGCAGAGGAGGAGGAGGCGGCGGCTGCGGTGGAGGAGGGGCCATCTGTGCCAGGCCCTGTGGGGACGTCGAGGAAGAGAAGGGACTCTGGTGGGGCAGATACCGCCTGCACACTTAGCACCTGGTAGATGCATGGGGGGAGGGAGATGGAGATGTGCAGACGGAGAGTGAGAGAAGAGCATTCTGATTAGAGTGCTGCAGGTGGAGTCACGCGCCTCAACAGCCAGCCCATGATGGCCCTGCCTGGCCACAGTGATGGCAGCAATGCCTGCAACAACGCCTTACCCCTTAACCCCCCAACCCAACACCCTAAACCCTGCACCCAAAGCTCTCTTCCCCCCTGCTCACCTGCATGTTCTCATCGGGGTCCAGAGAGAGGATCCGGACGGTCGAGTCGTACGATCCCACGGCCAGGAAGCGCGCTCGCTGGCGGCCCTCGGGGATTGGGGCGACGTCAAGGCAGGCAACGTCCCCCGGCATGTCCTTCTTGCCCATCTCCACCATCTGCCCCCTCACGTCCATCTCAAAGTGAACCAGCTCGCCGCCTGATAGGGCGATTACCACCTGGTGTTGGGGGCGAAAGGAAAGGGAATGGGGTGAGGGAAGGGGGGATGGTTGGAGGGAGGAGCGGAGGCATGTCCTTCTTGCCCATCTCCACCATCTGCCCCCTCACGTCCATCTCAAAATGCACCAACTCGCCTCCCGATAGGGCGATTACGACCTGGATGGCGGAGGAGGAGGGGACCGTTGGAGGGCGGGAGATGTGCAGGAATGAGGACAGGTCAGAATAAGCAGACGTTTACAGCCCTTTCACCTCGTAGTTGCTACATACAGCCGACTGCAATTCATTAATCAACGGGTCCAGCTGACTGTGACTGACCTGGAAGCGGTTGCAGCCGACTTTGACGATGCTCTTCTTGCCGGGTGTCTTCCACTCGTTGATGCGCCCGTCCGCCCTGATGTGCCTAATGCCGCTTGGGTGCACCTGCGGATGGAATGTGATGGGATGGTGACGGGATGTGATGATGGGATGTGATGGGATGGTGACGGGATGTGATGATGGGATGTGATGGGATGGTGACGGGATGTGATGATGGGATGTGATGGGATGGTGACGGGATGTGATGGGATGTGATGGATGTGATGATAGGATGTGATGAGATGTGATGGGATGTGATGGTGCACGCAGCACAGAGAGACATGGATTTTGAGGTGAATCAGAAGCAAAACAATCCACACTGTCCCCCAGCCACCGCACTGACCTGCATGAGCGAATCCTCCCCCAGCAGCGACACGGCGAGCGAGGGCGTGGTGTCCAGGAATCCGCCGTCGCTCACTTCCTCCACCGTGTCGCCAATGCTGAGCACGAGCGTGGCGCTGACGAACGGCCACCTCACCACGATGTACGCGTCGAAATCGCATACAAAACAGCCAACCCTGCCCTGCCCCCATCCCACCACCTCACCTGCACGAGCGAGTCCTCTCCCAAGAAAGACACAGCGAGGGACGGAGTCGTGTCCAGAAACCCGCTGTCACTAACTTCCTCCACGGTGTCGCCAATGCTGAGCACGAGGGGCGCGTTGATGAAAGACACCACGATGTACGCGTCAAACTCGTCCTGCGCACTCTTGCGCACCGTCCACACCGCGCTCTCCTAGTTGCTTCCTCCCACCTTACCTGCCATCACAGCAACCCACCCTGCCCCCCAGCCACCGCGCTAACCTGCATGAGCGAGTCCTCTCCCAAGAGAGACACGGCGAGTGAGGGAGTGGTGTCCAGGAACCCGGAATCGCTGACTTCCTCAACCGTGTCGCCGATGCTGAGCACGAGCGTGGCATTCACAAACGACACCACGATGTACGCGTCGAACTCGTCCTGCGCGCTCTTGCGCACCGTCCACACCGCACTCGGCACGCCTGGTAACTGCGTTACTGCCATCTCAGTGACTGCGAGCCCCGGGCGGAGAATGCGCAGGGAGGAGCGCGGGCCGCGACCGCAGAGCGCGAAGACCTGCGGGGTCTCCTCGTCGAAGAGGTTGGAGACCTTGAGGTCGAGCAGAGGCATCAGCGACTCCACCTCGTCGATCTGGGGCGAGTGACGGAGAGGAGGGAGAGCGGGGAGAAGGGAGAGAGTCAGGATGGAGAATGGGAGGACTGCGGAGGGGAGCGGGAGGAGGGAGAGCGGGAGGAGTGAGAGCAGGAGGGGGAGCAGGAGGAGGGAGAACGGTAGGAGCGAGAGCAGGAGGGGGAGCAGGAGGGAGAACGCGGGGGCTTGCTGAGGGGCGAAGACAGTTTGCATGCCCACATGAAACACAATGCACCTCTGGCCCTCCTTGAACCCAATTCCCACACCCTGCCCCTCAACTTACCAAAATGAAAAAGATTTAAAAAAACATACTAACAGAGCAAACGTGAACCAGCGGAGTCGCGCTGACCTGAACCAGGTTCTTGAGGCGGCGCGGGTGGAAGAAGACGGGCTGAAACCCCTCGTCTGTCTCCATGAGCGTGGCGGAGCTCGACTCCACCTCCTCGTCGTCCCCGATGCCCTGGAAGCGGTACAGCGCGTGGTTGCCGAACTCCGACGCCGCGAACAGGAACCCCGCGCGCAGCACGCACAGCCCCGCGCCCACCGGGATCGTGTCGAAGTACTTAATCTTCAGCTCCGTCACGCGGTCCGTGTCCTTGGGGTCGTGCTCTAGGGTAACCCTAAACACGTCGCCGTATTCGGACTGGAGGAGGAAAAAGTACATCGATTTCTGCTTGTGCGTCGCGGCCGCGACGATCAGCACGCCGCGCTCCGCGGGGAGGTCGGCGCGGCGCGGAATGACGGCGCGCACGTCCGGGTGGCCCTGGTTCTTGTAAATCACGAAATTCTCGGCGCACACCAGCACGCCAGACGGCCCGTCCGCGCCGCCCGGGACCGCAACGAGGAGATTCGCGCCGTTGTCGACCGGCTCGGCCCATTTCCGCACGACGTGGTTCAGGCCCAGATCAAGCTCGTAGAAGGTCAGCTGCTTCTGCGCGTCGGCTGCTGCTTGGCCTGACGGGTCCTGATCGGCATCGGCGTAATCGAGCTCTATGGCGGCGAAAATGGGGTTGTCGAATCCGCAGTCCACGCCCACGACGGAGAAGACTAGGGTTTGCGATTTGTGCGCTTCTAACGGGGATGAGATCGTGAGGCGCGCCGAGCTGTCGCGGTTCAGAACGTACACGAACTTCTGCTTCTCGCAGGCTGCGATCATGACCGCTCGTCCTTTCGGATCCACGGCCAGGAATTGACCAGGGACGATCCGGCGACATCCCGACTTGCCATAGGTCTCCTGGTGTATCTTATCGAAGAGATTCTTCTCTCGGTTGTACTCCAATATAACAATTCGGCCAGAATCTGATCCCACGACAATGAGGTCCTTAGAGGAGCCGGTGAGCCGGAATTGGACGAGCGAGCGAATCTCGCCAAATACTTCCACCGCGTACAGGCTCTGCAGTTTTCCCGCGGCATCTGGCCGTAATAGCTCGAGAATCTTCCCTCTCGCGACCACTATTTCCTGCTCCTTCGTCCCTGAGAAGTTGCCGAATATGACGTGACTTATGCCCGTCGCCCGTTGGAGCGTAAGATTATAGAGATACATGGCTTCTACGGACTAGGGGCATAAGACGAGGGACAGGAAATGCGGTCCCGAAGTGAAAATGCGGTCACCTTTTGAGTCGGCTATATTTTTTACACATTCCCGAAGTAGACAAGCTAGATTAAGAAACTATGTTACTTACACATTCTCTCGTTTCGTAGCCGCGTAGCGCAGTGGATTAGCGCGCTGGACTTCGGATCCAAAGGTCGCGGGTTCGATCCCCGTCGTGGTTGAGTTTTTCTGCCTCGGGATTTGATTGTTTTTTCCCTTGTTGCATCCAATCACACCACGCTTTCTTGAATTCCTCCCAACTTCCCAGCAATTCTTGAGAATCCCGTTTTTGCTGGTGTGCTGTTTCTTGGGTTCACCCCCTTCATTCTTGGGAACATCTTCAGCTGCTCATCGTTAGTCCACCTCCCCGTCGTTGCCAGCAGTGTCGGCCTGCCTTGCAAGGCTGGCCGCGCTTGACGCGCGGCATGAGTCTCGTCAGGATGCCACCCACTCGAGGTACGTAGGTTTCTTGCAGTCATATTAGGTCGGTTAGTTCTAATCCTAAGCTGGTGAATCCAGTTTTTCCGTGATAGTCGGTTGTGGTCTCATTGCTTGACGGTTCACGCGTCGGATAAGGCACACTGAAGCGTTGCACAGGAGCAATCAAGACCATCGTGGCCGTTGGTATCACGTTCGCGATCGCAACAGTGTAGCCACGAAGTCATCTCACCCTTGTAGCGATCTGCCCTACTTCTGCATCTTCGACACGTGGTGACCCATGTCCGGTCGAGTTCAACCCAGCCATTCATTCCCGTCCCGATTGATTCTCTTTCAGATGAGATCGATGGGGAGGACGAGACGCTAGGGCTGCGATCCGGTCAGGTGAGTCGCGCATTCGCTCAGGTGAGTCGCGCATTCGCTCAGGTGAGTCGCGCATCCGCTCAGGTGAGTCGCGCATCCGCTCAGATGAGTCGCGCATCCGCTCAGGTGAGTCGCGCATCCGCTCAGGTGAGTCGCGCATCCGCTCAGGTGAGTCGCGCATCCGCTCAGGTGAGTCGCGCATTCGCTCAGGTGAGTCGCGCATCCGCTCCCGTCAGTCAGCGCACTATTACGTCAATGCTTCCATCTTTGCGTTGCTTATGTCTCGACCCTCCTAACATTCTTCATTCGCTCGTACGCAAGTATCAACGAACATTTTCTTTCGTCGCGCTCTCTTCCCCAGCCGACCGATCAGCGCGGGCCGCTCTGCTCGTACGTGGCGGCAACGGCGCTGCTGCTGCTGGGCTGCGGGGTGGGGCTCGGCATCGGCGCGCTGCTCTCGTTGCTCTTCCCCGCCTCCTCGCTCCGCTTCATCTCCACCAACGCTTCCCCTGACGCGCTGGCGGACGCTCAGTCGCAACTGTCGTTCCTGGTCGTGGGCGACTGGGGTCGCAACGGCGACTACAACCAATCCATCGTCGCGGAATCGGTATGTACGTACACCCAGGAAGTCCGTTCTCGCGGAATTGATATGTGAAGAACTAGAACGCTCTGCCAATGGCGGGCCACTGAACCAGTCCCTGCTCGCGGGATTGATATGTCATGCTTCTAGACAGTTGCCTCGGTAGTGGTAAATACGAGGGACAACTTCCACGAGGGACGATTTTGTGAATCTCAAGTGCCATGTCAAGCTGGTCGTGACTTGTATCTTGCATTCTCTCTCCTCCCCATGCATCAGATGGGCGAGGTGGCAGCGGCAATAGACAGCAGCTTCGTGGTGGCGTCCACGGGGGATACCTTCTACGATGACGGGATGCAGGACATCGTTCAGTGTGACTTGTGTCTTGTGGTTCTCCCCCCGTGCCTCTCAGATGGGCGAGGTGGCAGCGGCAATAGACAGCAGCTTCGTGGTGTCGACAGGAGACAACTTCTATGACGATGGGCTGCAGGACATCAATGATCCCAACTTCGCCTCCTCCTTCTCTGAGATCTACCAGGCGCCCAGCCTGCAGACACAGTGGTACGCAGGTACGCCCTCCCGTTTTAGCTCCTGCTCTCCTGCTGCTGGTAGTGTTGGGCAACCACGACTACCACCGCACCCTAGATGGGCTGCAGGACATCAATGACCCCAACTTCGCCTCCTCCTCCTCTGAAATCTACCAAGCGCCCAGTTTGCAGACGCAGAGTGGTCTGCAGGTATGTGACAACAACACAGACGCATTGGTATGCAGGTATGCGACAACAACACAGACGCATTGGTATGCAGGTACGGCCCCCAATGCACTCCCTCTAATGCCGCTGTCAGTGCTGGGCAATCACACCTATTACCGCACCGTGAGATGCCAGCAGCCAGGCAATCACACCTATCACCTCACCGTGAGATGCCAGCAGCCAGGCAATCACATCCCCCACTCCCCCACCTTCCCTCCCTTCCCCTCCCACCCTGTTCCCACGTTCTCCTCCGCCGCTCCTGCACTGGCAGTGCTGGGCAACCATGACTAGCACCGCAACCCCGACGCCAGCAGTCACGCACTCACGTCCCACCTCCCCATTTCACCCCGCAATCGCACCCCCCATTCCCCCCGTGTTCCTACCGCCGGCAGTGCTGGGGAACCACGACTACCACCGCAACCCCGACGCGCAGACGGACCCGGCGCTGACACCCCACCCTCCCCCACCTCCCCCTTTTCGCCCCACTTCCTCCTCTCCTCTTATCACTGTCCGCCCACCGGCAGTGCTGGGGAACCACGACTACCACCGCAACCCCGACGCGGAGACGGACCCGGCGCTGAGGCGGAGGGACCCACGGTGGCGCTGTGAGAAGACCTACACTGTCGTGCGCGACACCTGCCCCAAGTTCCGCTACTGTGAGCTGTGGAAGGGTTGCCGTGCCTGCCCCAGGTTTCTTTCCTCCAGTCAGAGCTGCCTGCTCCAAGGCGCTGCGCTGTGAGCAGGGGAAGGAATTATTGTGCCCTTGAAGCCATGAGCCGGGCCAGGCGCCACCTTTTTCCTTGCACATTTCTGTCCCCCACTGCTCATGCAACCCCTCATCTCGCACTTCTCCCTTCCTCTTCTCTTCACCCTGTAATCAGCTCAGTCTCCCTCTCTCCCCGTATCTCCCCTCCCCTCCTGTCCCCGCTGTCCCCACCAAATGGCCCTCTCAGTCGAGTGCAACCCGCTGCTGCAGCTGTTTTTCATTGACACGTCCCCCCTGGTGGCGGGGTACTGGCACGGCAAGCCACACGAGTTTGAGAAGCTCAACTTCACCGGCCTCCCAGATGCCTCCCTCACTCTGCACTACCAGCTCACGGTGACTATTTTTGAGACGTCTCAAAAACCGCCTCCCTCACCCTGCACTACCAACCAACTCACGGTGCTGTCTGCCTCTTACTCTCCTCTTCTCACCTCTTCGTGTCCCATCTCCTACGCTCTCCTTGGTCATCTGAATATACTGCCTCTACAGCTTCTTGTTGCTTGTCTCTCATCCATCCTGCCTGCTCCGGCAAATCTTCCGGCCTCACGCATGCCTGTCGCACCTTCTCCAACCTGCCCCGCCCTCCGTCCTCCTCAGTTGCTGCGTGCAGCGTTGGCATCGTCAACTGCCGCGTGGAAGGTGGTGGTTGGCCATCATCCCATCCACAGCACAGGCAGCCACGGCAACACGCCTGAGCTGATCAAGTTCCTCTACCCGCTTCTCAAGGTGCCTCTCTCTCCCTCATTTTCGTCTCCCCCTTGTTCCGTCTGCCTCCTTCTACCTCACCTGCACGTCAAACCTGCACCTCAAACCTGCACCTCAAACCTGCACGTCAAACCTGCACCCCAAACCTGCACCTCAAACCTGCACCTCAAACCTGCACCTCAAACCTGCACGTCAAACCTGCACCTCAAACCTGCACCTCCAACCTGCACCTCAAACCTGCACCCCTCTCTTTGTGCATCCCTCACTTTTTGGTAGACACCTTTTGATGCTCTTTCTTCCCTCATGCGCACCTCTTGAAGGAAAGCATTCAGTTCGTCTCTGCTCCTCCTCTCCGCGCCCCCTTGCCATCTCGCCGTGCGTGAACTGCCTGTGTTATTGTCGATATTCTAAATGCAGCTGACCTTGCCTCTGCTCCCTTTGCGACTCCCTCTACACCTCCTTGTGTGTTCAATGTGTGCTCACTGTGCCTGCTGTGCCTGCTGTGTCTGCACCACCTGCAGCACTACAACGTGGACATATACATGAACGGCCACGACCACAACCTGGAGCTTTACAAGGACGTCAACAGGTGTGCCCCGTCACACAATGCTGTGCTGGAGGGGAGGAGGGGGGTGGGTGAGGGACAGGGCGTGTTTTCGAGCTCCCATGGTGCAGCTTTCAGCTTTCGGCCAAAAGCTGCCATTTCTTTTGACTCTTATTTTGTTTCCTGTCCGTTGTTTCCTGGTACCGTATGTGCAGTGGTATGTTCTTTGTCACAAGCGGGGGTGGATCTAAGGTGGACCGGAATCGCACAGTAACCGGTGACAACAATTCCATGTTCTATCATTCTCGACAGGGCTTTGTCTCTGCAAGTGTAACGCAGCAATCCTTCACTATAAAATTCCATGACATGTTTGGTGCTAGCCTCTATACACTGACAACCTCCAAGGACCCTCAGTGATAAAAGCCATATACACCGTGCCCTTGCCATAAATCACCCTATGACCATTTTTGGCTTAAGGGATCGGACATTCAGCAGCTTTGTTGCATTTTTTAGTGTCAATCTCATGAGACTGTTACTCAGTGGTTGCAGCGCATATGGTAGACTGGATTTTCCGCTATCGACAGATTGAGAAGTGCAAGCCACTCACTTCCCTTGTTGTCAATTCCACAAAAAGAAATCAGGCTAGAGCGCATCTTCTCTTCACACCACTAGCTTGTGTCCCAATTCAGTCCGTACTTTGCATGCTATGCTAATGTTCATAGGTATGTCAGGTGATGGAATTACTTTGTGATGGACTATGAGATTGTCATGCGACGTGATTATGAATTCCAATGCCAATGACTTTCTCCACCATATGTTTGAACATTTGAACATACTGTAACTGTACTCTCTGGTTTGCGCTGCAGTGGCTCGTATGTGCATTTGTACAGTCGAATGATATTATTTTATTTAATGATTTGTTCAGGGACGTATCGCGCACATGACAGCGCGCTGTCCTCGAAGGCGGAAAGGTGTCAGTGAGATGTGCACATCATGGTTACCCTTCGCATAAGCTACTCTTGGTCGCTCTACGTTCTCCGTATTGGCGAAAACATTCGACTCCTCGTCGAACTATTCTAGCCGCGCCGCTGACTCCATTGTTGGGCTGAAAAATTAGCCCTTAGGATCTTTGCAGAGGAGAACTCTTGGGTAGAAACTTGTAATAGCGGAAGCGTTTTAATGAGGATTGTGAACCGACCTTGCACTGGTGTGTGAGAGCAAAGTAGATTAAATTAAACAAGCAAATACAAGGATTTATATAAGAGTACAGGGAATACGAATAGATAGGTAGATAACTGTATTGCTGTTGCGGTTCGATACAGTGCGACTCGGGCAACTGCTCTGTAACGAGTCAGTTGTGTGTCCTTAACTGTCGCGCTGTGATTGTCGAGTCAAAGGTCAGCGACCTTTGACTTTCTCGTAACCTCCAGGCGGTTACCCTAACCTCCGAGGTTGACTCGATGCTTCGATTGGGACTGCTTCGCTTGGTGCCTTGGGTTTTGATACGACAGAAGCGCACTTAGGACTTATTGTTTCCAACACTCCCCTTCGCTTCTGGAGTGTCGCTGCTGGTGACGTGGCCTTGTCCAGTCAGCATCATGCAGTATTCGAACTTCTGCTTTCCGAGTTTCTTGGTCAAGTAATCGGCTGCCATCTCGGATGTTGGGCAGTATGACAGATCGAGTTTCCCTTTTTCTATCTCGTCCTTCACGAAGAAATAGCGCAGGGCGATGTGTTTCGTCCTGTTTGCGAAGCCGTTTTTGTTGGCGATGCGAATTGCCGACTGGTTGTCGCAGAACATGGTGAAGCTGGGTAACTCGGCTAGTTTCGCTTCTTCCAGTAGTTCGCGAAGGTAAAGTCCCTCCTTGGTGGTTGAGCAGAGTGCGATATATTCTGCTTCTGCTGAAGATAGTGCGATTAACTCCTGTTTGCTTGACTGCCAGGAGATAGGACCGATAGGCTCAAGGCGGTAGACATAGCCGGTGCGTGAGCGCCTGTTGTCGGTGTCGCCGGCGTGATCGGCGTCGACGTAGCCGATTAGTTTGGTCGGTGTAGTCACGTTTTTGTGATAAGTTAGTCCGATCGTCGCGGTGCTGACGAAGTAGTGGAGAGCACGATCGAGTTCCGCCAGATGCTCTGCTTCAGGTCTCTTGAGATAGGTAGCGAGCTGACTTGCGGAGTAGGATAGGTCGGGACGGCACGTGACTGCTGCGAAAAGAAGGCATCCTAGCTTCTTCTGATAGTCGCGTATGCCGGCGGGTTTAAGTAGAGTAGATTGCCCCTTTTCGGTTCCTGACGCGTAGCGATAAGGCGTGGAGATGGCGCTTGGTGTGAGACGAAAGCGTTTCGCGATAGTGTCGGCGTACTTCTCGGCGCTTAGGTAGATTGCGTTTTCTTCCTCACGGATGTTGAGCCCGAGGTATTGCGTAACCGTAGAAGAGACCGTGAGCGTGAGGTCTTTCTGGAGCTCCCCTTCGAACCACGCGGCGATGTTGTCGGTTGACCCAATGTAGAGAAGATCGTCCACATAGACGATTAATAGGACGTAATCGCCTCCTTTTGTGAGGCGATACATGCCCTGGTCATGCGGGAGTTGTTTGAAGCCGATGCGGATGAGGCGGGCGTGTAGGTACTGCTGCCACAGTCGCGGTGCCTGCTTGATCCCATAGAGTGATTTGAGTAGTTGACACACTCGGTTGGGTTCGCCGTGGGAGCCGTGCGGGAGTTCAACGAAGATTTCTGCATCCACAGGTGCGTAGAGAAATGCGTTCGCAACGTCGATTTGTTGCAATTTCCTTTTCTTCATAGCGGCGACGGCGATGAGGATTCGGAGTGAGGTGTGGCGACTGACCGGAGCGAAGGTTTCGGTGTAATCTCTTCCGTGCTCCTGGTCGAAGCCACGTACGACCCAGCGGGCTTTGAATTTGTCGATGGGGCCATCAGCTTTCGTCTTCACACGGAAGACCCATTTTCCGGTAAGAATGTTTTTATTTTGAGTTACGCCGATGGGAACAATTTTCCAGGTGTTGCGCTCCTCCAGTGCCTTCAGCTCTTTGTCCATAGCTTCACGCCATTTCTCCCTGTGTTCCCCCCCCAGAGCCTGCTGAACCGTCGCAGGCTCCTCAGGAATGCCGGCGCCATGGACTGCGGTGACGAGACCAAGGATTTGCAGCCCAGTCTGTGAGTATCGAGGGAGTTCTGGATCCTCGGGATAAGCTGCTTCGTCTCCCGTTTCTGGGTCGGGCATGAAATTTGGCCCTACCCTTTCTGCTTCGTTGGTGTTGACTGTCACAGGTGTTACGTAACCATCGTCGGCAAAACGGTAGAAGATTTCGGCGTTGTTACTGTCGCGAGGATTATCCTCATCCATGGGCACGTCGACGGAGCAGTATGGGAGAGGTCCGACTTCTTCTGAGGCGTTGTCGACGTTCTGTTCATCCCAGTTTGCTTCGTCCGCTGCTGACGCGAAGGCTCGGTCACCACGAAAACCACTGGTGAGGTCCCGATTCTCGTGCAAGTTGGCGAGGTACGTCTGAAGGGTGAGTCTTTCGTAGAAGATCACGTCACGTGCTGCTACTGTTTCCTTTGTGTGGACGTCGAAGATTTTCCATGCGTTGTAATTTTTCTCGATGCCGAGGTGTAGTCCCCACTGTGCCCGTTGCGAAAATCTTCCCGCTCGTGCTTCTGGGGGTCTGTACTGTACCATGCACCCGAAAACTCGTAACATTTTCGTGCTGCCCTGCTTCCCTGTCCACAGCAGATGCGGTGATGCGTTGTTCGGGAGTGACGACGACGACAACAAGTTGTGCAGCATGACAGCGTGGTCCATTGCTGCTGGCCACTGGTGGTTGGGTAGCCGCATGCCACGTAACAGTTTGCGCATGCTGTTCTGCAGGGTCCTGTTCAGTCGTTCTGCAACACCTTGCTGCTGATGTGCGTAGGGAAGGGAGAGGAGTTGCTTGATCCCCCTTTCCGCCAAGAACTGCTTGAAGCGCTGAGAGGTGTACTCGCCACCTCCGTCTGACTGGAAATTTTTCAGTTGTGTTCCAGACTCTCTCTCTGCTATCGGTAGCCAGGCGGCGAATGCTGCGAGCGCCATGTCGCGGCTGGGTAGGTTGCGATGCCAGACGTATCGAGTGGCAGCGTCGATGAAGGTGATGGTGTAGTTGTAGTTGACTTGTCCTGGTTCGCGATTGTAGAGGATGTCGCTATAGACCTTTTCGAGTGGTGCGTACGCTGGAGCGCTCGGGTTGTGATGTGAAGCAAACGGTCGATGAGGTAAGTCAGCTTCGGGACATATAAGGCAAGTCCCTCGTGCCTTCTGGAGTTCTCTGCCATCGGGTAGAAGTAGAGAGTCTTTGTCGAGGACTCCTGCTCTTATCGTGTTATTCAAAACCGTGTTGCTTGGATGTCCTGTGCGTGCGTGCCAGATCTCTTCAGAGGCGCGGTGTCCGGGTGAACGCTGATATGCGTCGGAGTTGGAGTAAAAGCTGGCGACGAGGTTGGCGCTTCGGTGGACTTCACGCTGAGTCGGATTCAGCTGTTGCGCGGGTGTTGGTGGTGCTTCGTCGACTGTGACTGGTGTCGTTGTTCCTGCTGCTGCTGATGTTGTTGCTGCTGCCGATGTTGTTGCTGCTGTCGATGTTGTTGCTGCTGCCGATGTTGTTGCTGCTGTCGATGTTGTTGCTGCTGTCGATGTTGTTGCTGCTGCCGATGTTGTTGTCTCTGCTTCTTGTTGAATCGTTGCTAACGCTCTTGTTCGTTCTGCTTCAGGGATAGTGTGGGAGTACCAGAAACCTCCCGGGCTGAAGTCGGGGTCGAGATCCGGAGGGTGTGTCCATTCAGCAAAGTTCACAATGGCGTCGCTGTCTGCAGTGCCGAGGTCGGGAGCGAAGTCGAGGACGAAGACGTTGTTCTTCAGCACTGCTTTCCCGATGTAGAGACCGCCTCTTCCGTGGTAAAGCTTGAACTCCTGGGTCGTGCTATCGGCTTCCAGATGAATTCCTTTCGCCATCAACTGGCTAACGCTCAGTAAGTTGTAGCCGAGTCCTTCAGCGATGAGTACCTTAGACATGTGCAGTATGACATTTGTTTCTCTTGACTGAAGCTGTACCACTCCTTGTCTTCGTGTGCGCAGGTTTTGGTTGTTGGCAACCGTGATGATTACTTCCCGTTGGAGTCGATGTTCGCGTTGTACGAAACGCCCGGACGAGCACATGTGTTGCCCGCAGCAACTGTCCAAGAACCAGGTGTCTTGGCCGGACGGTTCACTTTGAGCGATAGCGGCGTAAGTCGGATTTGGATGGAGTGATTCGCGACGAGGCGTCCTGTTGTCGAGCTCCTCTTCCGGTGAGTAATGGGGTGGTGACTCTGTTATGCAAGAGTCGTTTATCTTGACCATGCAGTTGACTATATGT